CCCCCCGTCCCCCAACGGGCTTAGTTTAAAGCCCGGGGGAGCAGGTCAGCCAGTCTGGCTGAGAAGAGCCTCCTCCCTAGGGGAGAGAGGTGGAGGCCATCTCTTCCCAGCAGCTCGCTGCCTCTCTTGCCAAAGAGCGGGCTGTGGTCATGAAAGCCAAAGCCTTCCTGACGACACCAGCGCTGCAGTCTTTGGTTGACCACATAGATCCTCCTCTCCCTCCTCGGCCCATAGCCTGAGACTGGGAGGATCGACGAGAACACTACCTGTGCCCCCAGACCCTTAAGCCCCGCTCCCAAATCCCTGTAGCGCCTCATGACCTGGCTGGGAGTGCTCCAAGCAGTGTCATTGGTGCCCACATGAATAAGGAGCATGGGATAGTGGTCTGTGGGTTTAAGGAGCTTTGGGATCCTCTCCGTAATGTCCCGGATGCGGGCCCCCGGGAAGCAGCAGACTTGCCGGGCTAAGGGGTCGGGGTGGCAGATTGGCCCCTCAGTCCCCCTCGGGAGGGAGTCTCCCACAACAAACACCTTACGTTTTGTCTTGGGGAGAGCAGGGGCCGTAGCTGCAGTTGGGACCGTGTTGCCTGTGGGGGCCGGCAACTCAGCAGGCTCTGCTCGGGCAGCAAGAGGTGCGTACCTGTTGCTTAGTTCTGGTCGGGTAGGGGCCTTGGTGTGGCGGGCCTTAGGGCCCTTGACCACCTTGGTCCATGCACCTGGCTGGACACAGCAGGAGGTCCCAAAGTCCTCCTTTGGCGTGGAGGGGGACTGTGTCTTTATGAATAAAGACAGAAAGATATGTTCATGTTACCTGTTTAAAATCACCCTTCTGTGTTGTACTTGTGGGAATCCATTCACTGGAGGCCTGATCCTTACTGAGGATCTAGTCATTCCTTAATCATCTCCCTGATAAACTAAATAGGTTGAACTCTTGGGGGTCCTCACTGTAGGGCTCTTCAGGCTAGCAGACCAAGATATAAATAACAATATCCATTTGCTGGCAATTGAAACTAAACATATTCAGATTTAAGATGGACATTTTTAACAGATCAGTTTAAGTGATTAACCCTGGAGCAATTTACCAGCATGGTAAATTGTGGCAGGTTCCCCATCACCAGACTTTTTAAATCCAGATTGGATGTTTTTTCTAAGTAGATGTGCTCTAATGAAAACCAATTCTGCAAAGTCCTCTGCCCTACATAAAACAGGATATCAGACTGGTTGGTCATAATGGTCTTTTCTGGCTTTAAATCTTTGAATCTATGATTTTGAATCCAGATTCAGATACCACTAAAACATTTTAAGGATATTTAGATCTGAGGTTTTGGGCTTGATTCCAAGCATTGTAACTGGTATTATTATGGTGTTCTCTTTATCTAGAGGACGTGTTCCTGAAAAGCCCATTATCATCATCTCTAAGACCTATCTTTAATTAGCATTGTTAGTAATAATTATTATTTTAGTGCCATCCTTTTGAGGTGGTTGTATCTGAGAAAAGGCAAACTAGTTCCAATTATTTCAAACCTTTGAGTTGAACCAGAGAACCAAACTTTATGGGCGATGTGAAGAATTTTCATCTCACCGCCTCTTATATTTCACTTTCATACTTGCCTCTGAATTTATCAAGAAACACCAAGAAGCTCTGGAAATCTTGCTCCCCTGGGCTAACAGCCTTGCTGGGTTTGCCTGTCACTGGCTGTGTCTAGACAGCACATGGAAGTCTCATATCTGAATAGTAATGATGATACACTCGCGGTGGTGGGATGGCATGCAAACTGATGTGTTCCTTTTATTTCCAGTGCCTACACCGAACCTTACAAGGTGTGCCCTATCTCCATGATACCTGTGGAGGATGTCACATCAGATGAAGAACAGAAAAGTTCAGAGGATGAAGAAAGCAGCCAGGGGGATTCGAGCCTCATCCATAAGGTAAAAGATTTAGAGCAATGTGGGAAATACCTGAATTGCTCCTGGAGAAAGAAAAGGAAAATTAAAAGCAAACTAGGAATTTCTCAAAAGTACAGTTTTATCTTTCAGAAACCATAGACTCATTGGAAAGTAAATGCTTGGCTTAAACATGCCAGCTTAAACAAAAGTGAAGAGTTTTAAAAAGAAAATCTGAAAAACAAAATTGTTTTGATCAGGTTAAAAAACCCTTTACCTCTGTCCAGAATGAAGCATTTGAACTTTCTGTTTCTAAGTGCGCTTTTCATTGCATTTTTTTCTTTTAGATTATATAATATCTTGCATAGCATAACATTTAAAAAAACATAAAATTCAAAACTAAGATTTTCAATCTGATCTAAATAAAAAGTTTTGAATAATTTGAAATGAGCAACTTTTTTCAGAAGTTTGTTCCACAAGAAATTACCTTTCTTTTTTTAGTTTTGATTTTGAACAGGAAAAAGTTTTGAGTTTGTTATGGATCAAAAAATCCATAGCCAGGCATGAATTGTGACGCCGATGCTACTGCGCAGTAGCTGCTAAATATAGCTGTGCTGCATCAGGACTGCATGGTAATACTGATTACTGCACAATCATTTAGTACTTGCTTAAGTAAGTATTAAATGACTGTGCAATAACAGCTGCACAGTCCACTGCATGTGTAGACGCACCCTGTGAATTTGAATTTTGTTACTATGTTTCTCAGAAGACCCTGGAAAATTATATTTTTTAAATGCCTTCCTCACAGCACTCCACAGTTTCTAATGGACTTGCTGTGCTTGGGTAAACACTGTTTAAATCGCACAGCTGGAAGGCAGCATATACAAGGCTTAGCAAGAGCAAATATGCACTTCAGGTCTCACTCCTACTCCAAAGCCAAACTAAAATGAATTATCTGCCTTGGCAGCGCACTAAAAGCTCATACTGCTGGGCCAAGGCAGGTATCCCTGTCTGACTGCACTTGGACTACAGGCCAACAGTGGTCACAGCACATTTATTGAAGTCTCAGCAAGCTCCTGGAAAGCTACCTAAAAGCAGCACCCTCTGATTCTTGGCCACCTGGCTGCTGAATCAGCTCTCGAAGGGTATGTCTACGCTGCGGTGTAGAGCAGAGACATGCGAGTTAGCTGCAAAGAAGGGTACTGTAGGCAGGGTAGTATTAGCAGTTTAACCACAGCAGCACAGAGCTCAGCACTGCCTAATATACCCTGCTATGAATCAGGGTACATCTTCGAAGGTAGGGGTGCAACTTGGCACAGTAAATTAGTCCACACTGAATGGCCGTGGCCAGATCGTTTCTGATATCCAAGCCAGATCATTTATAGCTAGCTCAAATATCCCTATACTACATCCTGCAGTCTGCAGTGTAGATATACCCAAAGTCACGGCTTGTGTATTCCTGGCTCCACAGAAAACAGAACTTGTGCGCACCAAAGGCTGGAAACTAGAGATTCACCTCTGGCTTAGCCACTTGTTTGCTGGAATTGCACCATTACGGATTTCTTCCTCCAGCTCTGCCGAGTCTTCGCTGTCAGTCGGTCCACTGTAATTGACTGTGAATGGAATGAATCCCATCCCTCCATAGCCCTTGCCTCGGAGAACGCCAGTATCTGTGCAGAATACTGACAGTGGATTGTATTTCCTGCCCCCTCCCCTCCCGCCTCCTTTTGTTGTCTTCTCACGCAAATCTTCTGGGTGCCAAGGGGACATTAGCTGCTCTGTCAAAACCCAGCCTTGCAATGATGAAGTACAGAAAAATTGTTCAACTACCGGATGAAGTGATGCATCCCTCTTGTAGCAAACTACTCAGTGCAACATGAAGCAGTTGTAAAACATGAAAGAGTTCAGAAACACTGTCACTCCGGGAGAACTGGCAGAGGTCCTTAGGTCCAGATGCCAAAAATAGTACCATGGATTTGGAAATGAGCTAATTTTGTTAAAACAACAGTTTTGGGCTAGCCTAGCAAGAGTTGAATCTGGATTTTTTTTTAAATCCCTGGGGGTTATTGTTTTGGTTTATAGTTTCCCCATCCTGAGAGAAAATTAGCTTGAATAAAGGTATGAAATCACCTAGTTGATAAGATCTTTTTTACTGTGTCCAGAATATGCGATTCTGACTTGTGTCTGGCTGGGTTAGGCTTACTTCATGCTAGTGACATGTGGATTATCAATAGCTAGGTATGGTGCTTTCCTCTCTCGCTTTCCTTTTTGTTGCCTACTGGTTGGAGATTTCCAAAGGGCTTCCAGTTTGCAGAGGGCTTTTTTTCTCCCAGTGTTCCTTTTTTAACGTTCATTTTACAAGTTAAAAAAATCTGCTTTGTACACAGTTTTCCTGGAATTGTTTCAACAGCTGGTTCCCTTTGAATCTGTACTCTCCTGGGGATGAGCTTCAAGTGAGTGCAGAGGAATGTTTAGGACTTGCTGGCACCCTCCGTCTGTAAACAATTTGAATCCCAGCCAACATCAGACATTTGGGGTAGTCTTGGTGCAGCAGTTTTAGAAAACTGCTACAGATTTTTCTTCACAGTGGTCCAATAGTCTTAGACCAGCCTAGGTCTAGCAGAGGAAAAAAACAACAGAGCAGCTGATGCTTCTCGCTTGCGGTTCAGGAGGATGTGCTGAACTTTGGTAGGTACCTTTGGAACTGGATTTAAATAAAAACAGTGTGAAGAAGTGGAACACCAGGCCCCCGTTTTGAATAGCTTCTTTAGTTTCACTGGGTGCATCTACACATGTAAATAGCATGTAGCAATAAACTCTGGTGCAGTTTGTGCTGGAATTTTTTGCTCCTGGGTACAGCGTTTACATGTGCACCCAGGACCACAGCACGTTGAGCCAGGGTGGAGCAGCCCTGGCTGGCAGGGGGTCCCCGGGGTCAGCATGCCAGCTCAGGTCTGCTCCAACCTGGCTCTGTGTGCTGCAGAGAGGCTGGCTGGGGCACAAGCATGCTACAGGGTAGGGCTAGCTGGTAGGCAGCCCCCACACTGCAGCACTCTCATGCCCCAGCCAGCCCCGTCACCATCTACACATGAGTTTCGTCATGCGTAACTACCCCTCTGTAAGACAGTACATACTCCTCTGTAAGACAGTACAGTGCTTGTGTTGGGCAGTACTATCCTACAGCAGAGTTAGTGTACTGCACCCTAATAGGAGCACATGTGTAGACAGTGACACTTTAGTCCAGGGCTAATTAGTTAGCTCCTTAGTAAAGCATCTTGTGTAGATGCACTCACTGATTGTATCCTAAACCCTGAGTGTGCATCATCAGCAATCACTTGGTGCTCTTGGTTCTTCTGTTTAAAACTGATTTTGAGCATCTACTTTTGTTCATCAAGCAAGGATTTGAAGTCCCTTCTTTAATTCTCTGACAGATGGTGTCAGGCTAAGACAACTAAGGGGCTGTAGTTTTTTTCTAGTCTCTGTAGGTGCCTGTAGAGTGTAGATGTGCCAGGAGGCTGCTCTGATGCGCTGTAATTACCATGCTCCAGCCAGCCTCCATGTCTCGTGCATTAGTGTCCCTGAACTTCAAAATGACAGCAAGGGTGCTTGTTCAAGTGCCCCCGCTGCCATTTTGAAGCATGGGGATGCTGATAGACAATACACTCTAATTAAAGTGACCCACCCCTACCCCCAGAGCACACGTAAAAGTGCCCTGCCATTCTGCACAGTTGAAGCTTCATCTAGTACTAGAAAAGATACATTAGTACATTGGTACTAATGTAGTGCTGCATCTGTATTACAGAAACATCTGAAACCTGGGATTCAAAACCAAAAGCCACCTTTTCACACAATGAACTTGACCCAAACCCTAACCTCTGCAGCTGGTCCTCATTGCTCTAATGATAAAATCTACTACCCTGGAGCCACACAGCCTTGAACTTTAAAAGAGTGCATATCTAGGTAGGAACACTGCCGTTCAGACTGCAGAGTGCTCCAGACTCCAAAACTGCTCTCACTTTGCCAACGCTTTCACTTTCCCTTTTCACAGCTGTCTCTGAGACTTCCTACTTTCAGCCAGGCTCAGAATTAGAACCAATTTTATTTCTCAGAAAGGCTAATCCTGTGATACTCCTCTCAGAGGAGGTCTGAAGAAGCACAAGCTTTTGAGCTTCACCCATCACTATCTTTGATTTGAATTTCCCAGAGTATCCCAAGAACTGGGGGGAAGATCCTCCATTAAAGAACATAAGAACATAAAAATTGTCATTTACTGGGTCAGATCCTAGCGACCTCTAGATGTACTTTTTTCTATTGAAAGCTGGAATTTCTATCAATAAAGATTATATGGTACCTCTCTTACCAGTTGAACAATCCACTCTATTGGATTTGATGCAGTCTTTGATGTAGAGTACCACTCCTCCACCAGTTGAACCTACTCTATCATTTCTATATAATTTGTATCCTGGTATTACAGCATCCCATTGCTTTTTTTCATTCCACCATGTTTCAGAGATACATATTATGTCAACATCATTATTTACTGCTAAGCATTCAAGTTCCCCCACCTTTGATCTTAGACTTCTAGCATCAGTAAAAAAGCATGTGTGTGTACTTTTTATGGCTGCCTGGTGGGCTACTTCTGGGTGACCTTTTACTCATTAAAGCTAATTGCTTGTGCTTGCCCTCACCCTATTTCTTAGCTTCATTTTTCATCGTTTCACTCCTATAAAGTGTATGAATCCAAACCGTGTGCTGTTTCACATCTCGGCTTCCCACGTTTTTAGTTTAAAACTACTCTACCATCTTTTTAATATTACACACCAGCAGTTTGGTACCATTTTGGCTCAGGTGGAGATCATCACTTCTATACAGGTTCACCCTGTTCCAGAAGGTCCCCCAGTTCCTAATAAATCTAAACCCTTCCTCCATACACCATCTTAACCACACATTGAGACTCTGGAGCTTTGCCTGTTTACTTGGCTCTGCATGTGGCACTGGAAGCATTTCAGACAATGCTACCATGAAGATCCTAGACTTCAGCCTCC